GTCTCCCCGTTTCCATCTCTTAATTTTCTTAGTTTGGGGTTTGTCTTAGTTGGGGTTTCACTGCTGTGAACAGACACCATGACCAAGGCAAATCTTATAAGGACAACATTTAATTGGGGCTGGCTTACAGGTTCAGAGATTCAGTCCAGTATCATCAAGGCCGTATCCAGGCAGGCATGATGCAGGAGGAGCTGAGAGTTCTACATCTTCATCTGAAGGCTGCTAGCAGAATACTGGCTTCCAGGCAGTTAGGATGAGTGTCTTAAAGCCCACACATAGTGACACACCTACTCCAACAGGGCCACACCTTCTAATAGTGCCACTCCCTGGGCCAAGCACATAAAAATCATCACATGGTTCCTCTTTACTTTGGCTACTTTTGCTTAGGATTTGTGAAACTCATTTATATTTTTTAAATACCCAGCCAGGTAGTGGTGGCCTCACCAAAAACAAAAAAACAAAACCCACAATCAAACAAACAAACCAAAAAAACCAAGGGAAAAACCAAACCAACACCACCACCAACAACAAAGAAATAGCCAATGCTTGGGTTCTTTATATCCCTCTTTCAGCTCTGTCTCATTGGTTTCTGCCCTGGGCTTTATTTTGTCTATCTACTGATCTGAAGTTTGGCTTAGTCATTAAAAAAGTATTGAGGTTCAGGGGGCTGGAGAGATGGCTCAGAGGTTAAGAGCACTGGCTGCTCTTCTTCCAGAGGACCTGAGTTCAATTTCCAGCACCCACAGGGTAGCTCACCACTGTATGCAGTTCCAGTTCCAAGGCATCTGACACCCTCACACAGACACACCTACAGACAAAACACCAGAGCACATAAAATAAAAGTAAGTAAGTTATTTTTTAAACTATTGAAGGGCATTCATAAAATATTTATCTGGGACTTATTTTATTTAAAAAAATCCTTTTTACTCTTATTTATGTGTGTGAGTGTGGGAGTGTGTGAGGAAACCATAGGAAGGTTTTGGGTTCCCTGGACCTGGAGTGCCATGGAGTTGTGAGGGGCCAGTGTGGGTGCTGGTAAGCAAATGCCTGTCTGCTGTAAGAGCAGTGAGTGCTTTTAACAGCTAAGCACCTCTTTAATTACCTCTTTGATTTTTTTAAAAAATTATTTTAAAAGAATTATATTATTTTTATATGTCTATGTGTTCTGCCTGTATGTATATCTGTATAGGCCACCATATGGTGTCAGATTCCCTAGAATAAGAGTTTCAGAAGGTTGTGAACTGCCTTGTGTGGTGGGAACTGAACCTATGTCCTCTGAAAGGGCAGCTAGTGCTCTCAACCCCTAAGGTATCTCTGCAGCCGTGATTAAAACAGTACTTTTCTTATGTTTATTTAGGTGCGACTGCTTTGCATGCAGGTATGTCTGTGTGTGAGCCACGTGTGTGCCTGTAGCTCATGGAGGTCAGAAGAGGGTGTAGGATCCCTTTGACCTGAGTTACAGACAGCTGTGAGCTACCTCGTGGTGCTGGGGATCAAACCTGTGTCTCTAAGAACAAGTCTTCTTGACCACGTTGAGCTGTCTCTCCAGCCCCCAGCCCTGAGTTTTTAAATAGAAGCATTTGTAGTTGTAAACTTTCTTCTTTGCTATATCCAAAAATCGAGCTTTTACTTTCACCTGCATCCAGTTTATGTCTGCCTTTCTTCAGTGACCCCTTTCTTCAGTGACCTATTAACCATTTAAGTGTCTCTTCAATTCCTATGTTTGTATACTTTCTTTAGCTATTGTTTTTTCTTTCTAGTTTTATTCTCCTATGGTTCGATAAGCTATAAGAAATGGTTAATATTATTACAGTTCTTGTATTTGGATTTACTTTGTGCCCCCGGGAGTGTTTGAATGTCAAAGTCCTACATTTGGATTCCTGAAGCATGTGGGCATGCGCTCTCAAGAGGAGAGAGTGTGTGAGGATAACAGGAGGGACTGAGCAAGGACATAGTCTCAGTTTGACAAGGGGTGGCTAGATCTCATGGGAGTCCTGGAGCATGAGTTACACAAGATAGTTCCCATTTTAGTAAGGAGGTGGGCCCCTTTGATCTCCATGCCACTGGTCCAGTGGGGGAGAAGGTAGGTCTCACTGTGAGTAAGGGTACATTAGATACTTTACTAGTGTTTTAGCAGTTGAAAGATCTTCACCTGCCTTGTGTGTCTGCAACACAGGGGGCTTGAGAGTCACAGACTCTTGGTGGCTGGAGGTGTCAGGGGATGTTACTCAAGGAGATGACATTTATGCTAATGGTTTCTGTTTAACTACACCATCCCTCCCAGCTAAACCTCTTCTCTGTCTCTGTCTCTCTCTGTCTCTCTCTCCCTCCCTCCCTCCCTCCCTCCTTCTCTCCCTCCTTCTCTCCCTCCCCCCCCCATCCCTATGGAATAGAGTATCTGGGCTTTTCTTGTTGCCAACTGGACACATGTTCTGAAGACTGTAGAGAGTAGTCAGGTCTTTATCCCCAACTGCTCCAGGTCCTGGCTGGACCATGGCTGCATCTTCCTCCAGGGTAGAGCTCCCCTTGCAGGGTCCTTCCAATGGCTAATCCTGTCACTGAGTGCCCTGCCAGCTCCATACCAACCTTTGGTCCTTCTGTCAGCTGGCATATTTGCAGACATCTGTCTAGCCCTCCTTAATTATTCCTTTGAGAGTTTAACTATTGAGAGGAGGGGTCACTGGGTGAGGTCTCTCAGGCCTGACCACACACAATTATTACTAGTGCACTGTTCTCCATGCAGGTTCTAGCTCAGCAGCACTGGAGAAAATCTAAATTCTAGACTTCTAGCATGTTCTCCAAATTCCTTTATGATTGGCATGAGAAGCTGGAAGGAGGAGAGAAGGGGCAGAATTTCTGCCCCCCAAATTCTGCAGCAGGAGGTAAGGAAGCTGAGGCCAGGGTTAGAGAGAACCACAGTGTACACAGCAAGCACTAAAACATTGTTTTTACTAGTGAATACTTTTTAAAAAGTCAGGTGGCTCAGTGGGTGAGGCGCTTAGTGTGAGACCTGGGGTTTGATCCCCAGAACCCATCTCAGGCCAGGCTCAGGAGTGGACATCTGTAATCTACAGAGAGATGTGTGTCAAGAGACAAGAGAGCTATCCTGGTGTATGCAGGTGTGAACAACAGGGACACCCTGTGGTAAACAATGTGGAAGGTGAGGATCAACGCCTGAGATTGCCCTCTGACCCCCCCCCCACAGTCGCAGATGCACACACAACATGTGTGTGTACACACAAGTTTAAAAAGTGGTCCAGGGATGTAGAAATTCAATACATTGATCAAGAATGTGGGGGAAATAACTTTATTTTAGATATATCAGAAGCTTTGTATTAATATAACCCCTCCCCCTCTCCATTTTCCTAAGCATCGCCATTCTCTCAAAGCTTTTGCAGTGACAGCTTAGGTTCCTGGTGAGCCCGTGACCCATGCCCTTCCACGAGCAGCCGCCTGTCCTTTCATATTAAGATGACAGCGAATTAGTAAAATGTATGAGCGAGCATGCTGTGCTGACTTCACAGTCCGTATTACAGAACAATGCATTGACATGTGTTAATAATTTATAATAAACTTATTAAGACATTTGTATTAATACCATCTACTTACAAGTTGGTATAAATTCAGGGCTCCAGGGTTAATTAGTTACTTACACCATCCCCGTGTGGACGCAAAGGTTATTTTACATAACTAGTCATAAAAATAGAAACGCTATCTCACAAGAGATTCGAATCTGATTTAAAAATGTACAGTCTCTGGGTTTACTCCATCGAGTTCTTCTTTGGCTACATACAGGAAACATCTTCTTCCCTCTCTCTGTTCCTTCTGAAGCAGATGTGTCCTTGCTGGTCCCCTCGGGCTTTTGTGTGACCCAGTGATGGTCCGTGGGATTTTGTATTGTGTTATACCGTTCCGTAGCTATCGATCCTGTTGTTTGCCAAAGCGTGACTCAAGCAGGTGAGAGCACAGAAAATACATCATGAGATCTTTTTTCTTCCTTTGGTAAAAGACCATCACCAACTTTTTTGTTTTAGGATTAGGGTTACACCATACCCAGAGATTGAACCCAGGACCTGCTAGACACATTCTCTGCTCCTGAGCCACACTCCCTGTCCACCTACGTTTCAACTGTAAAACTACCACCATACAAAACCAGACACTCCTGTGGTGCCCCAGAAAAAAAAAATGTACGGCCTCCACCACTTTCTTTCACGCCTTCAAGAACGTAATTCAGATAGAAACCCATGGTGTGCTTACTTCTGAGCTAACACCCTGGAGACAGCCAGAGGTGACACTTTACACGCTGTTGTGAGATGCCGAGGCTAAGTGAGAAAGGGCACAGGCGGTGTTCACCTCCCTGTCTCCGGGCCTTCCAGGGTTCCAAGATCACCCCATGACAGAAGCCAACGGTTCTTAACATCAACACACATCAGAACTACCTGAAGACCTAGCTCAGAGCTGGCCCAGCCACATCTTCAACAACTCCCCAGGTGATGTGCCCTGGTCGGAGGACTGTCTTTCTAGAATCACTGTTGAGACACCACTCAGTGGTCACTGTGATAAGCGACAGCTGGGATGGGTCAGGGCTGGGCTGTCCATGTCCGTCTCTATTCACCCTCCACCAAGCAGTGCCCATATTTGATAGAGCAGTCTTTCGACTTCTTCAAACATTTTCCCGCTTCCAAATCATTCCTTCTTCCTGGAGTTCAGAGAAACTGTTAACCCTGAGAGAAGAAACCAAGAATTGGGTTTCACTGCCAGCCCTGGAGCATGGAGTTTGTGATTTTCTCTCTCTAAAGACGAAACAAAAGGCGATTTTAAAACAGCTACTCCTCAACCTTATATTGGAATAGGGCCAAAGCAGAGGTCTGGGATTTCGGGCAATGAAATCCAGGGCAGCTGGTTGAGGAGACCTTGACACATATGATGATGTCACCAACCCCTTTCTACCCTTTAGGCACCTCCAGACTTGAACTCTAGAGGATGAAGTCTTCCCACCTCAGATCCCGAGAATCACAGTTAATCTTCCTCCAAGCGGCTTTGTGAGAGCCCTTGCTGACAGAGGCTAGACCTTCTCCATCTCAATCTGCTGGTGGTAGTGTCTAGCCTGCCTCTGTCCAACGTTCAGCTTGTATACAGAGCTCTTGTGCTGGCACCTACGGTAGCCCCACACGGCTCCCACGACTGTCAGCAGCAGCAGTAGACACAGGACAGTGACGACGGTGGCGATCACTGGGCCTTTCCTGAAGCTGGGACACTCATCCCCCACACACGGTGCCAAGGTTGGAAGAAGTTTCTCCTCGCTTGCACCAGGCCCAGGGCCCTCCTGTCCCAAGAAGTCCTCAGACAGCAGGTATGGGAAGCTATCCTGAACCTCAGGAGCTGTGACCTCCGCTGGAGGCTGGGTGGCCTCCACATTAGTCGAGGGGATGCGTTTACGTGTCGGCTGGAGGGCTGTTGGTACCGTCTCTTGGGTGGAGGTGATCAGTTCATAGGATGAGGTGGCCGTGGGTGACTGCCGTGTGGTAACTCTCCGGGGTATAGTTGATTGATAATTGGTCAAATCAACATTCCAGGTATGGGAACTCTCAGTCTCAGACACATTGATGGGTCCCGGAACCAGAGCTTCTACGTCAAGCATTTGAGATGGACCAATCGAGCTGTGTATCACAGATTCGCTTGGTGTGACGGTGACATTCTTGTGCTCTTTAACTTTCCCAATAGGCTGATCAGGAGTCATGAGGACACTTTCATCTGGTCCCACTGACCCATGCCCCTTGTCCTCATCGTCCTCCTGCCCAGCCTCTACCTTCCTCCAAGCCCCATCTGTCACAGGGTAGCCGTCTAACCAGGAATCATCGCTGCTGCTCACCCCTGGGTCCTCTGCCTTGCTGTCATTCCTATCCACAAATGGCTCTGAGGGGCTGTAGGTGGTGGCATAGACCAGCCTCGTTTCAGACTCCTCTGGGGCCGGTTTCTCGTCACTGTGATTGTCTCCGACAGGAAGTGGCTCTTTGGTCTCATCTCCCACATCCTTTTCCAGCTCTGGCTTGTGGAAAGTCTCGGCCGGAAACCAGAGTGAGTACTTCCGGTGTAGGCGGGATCTCGGCCAGTCTGTGCGGACGCTGCTCCCAGCGACTGGCAAGCCTGTGGTTGGCACGAAGGCTTTTTCTTGGGCTATATTTTCTTTAGAGACAGAAGTGAAGACCAGACGATCTTGTTTTGGTGTCTCGTCAGAGGCGTCTTCCTGAGCCTTTTCCTTTTCTCCCTCTGCGCGGGAGTCTTCCATGAGTTCCCTGAATGACACTGATCTGTCGTCTGGGAAATTTTCTTCATAGTCAATATGGGCCTCGGCCTCATCTAGAGGGAAAGAGGAGAAACTTCATTAAATGTAAAGACATGGGGTCAATGTGGAAAACCCAAAGGGGAACAGACCATAGAGATTGTAAGAGAATTAACAGTTGTCGCTTGAGAGTCAGTCACCCCTGAAGAACTTGGACCATTATAACTAAAATAAGAGCTTACCATAGGCATTGGGGAATCTATGAAATATTTAAAAACCAAGCGCATTTCTATATACTAGAAAACAACTTTTTCCACCAATCAGGCAACATACACAAGCTGGTCCAAGGTCCCCAACACATACACAGCAGAGGACTGCCTGGTTGATCTGGCTTCAGTAGGAAAAGGTGCACCTAACCCTCGAGAGACTTGAGGCCCCAGGGAGTGGCGAGGCCTGGCAAGCAGGGTGCCGGGGACATACTCTTGGAGATAGGGAGGAGAAGGTATGGGATGAGGAACTGTGGGAGGGTGGACCAGGAGGAGGGTAATGACTGGACTGTAAAAAAAAAAAAAAAAAAAAGGTAATAATAATGAAAAAGAATAAAAGGAGATTATAAGACAGGAAATAAAAAACTTACTTTCATCGCCCACATGGGGTGGGATTTATGGTGATGCAGTTGCATTTGTATCACTCATATTCCTATAAATGACTCCAATAAACTCATTGGTCCAATTTAAAAAAAATAGAAAAGCAAACAACTTAAAAAAAATTTCAGGGAACTAATAGTTTTAAGGATACCACTTAGAATAACAACAACAACAACAACAAAAATGAGGTGTGGTAGTGCGTGCCAGTAATTCTAACCTTTGTGACAATGAGGCAGCAGGGTTGTGACTTGGAGTCTAAGCCATGTAATGAGACCCTGTCTCAAGAGTGGCGGGTCGGGGAGCAGGGGGTGTAGCTCGGCTGGGATAGTGCTTGCTAGCACGCACAGTGCAGTTCACTGTGGTAAATACTGTGATCTTGGTCAGCTCATACTTGCAGGACACCATCCCTCATTGAGGGAAATCGTGGCAGGAACCTGGAGGCAGGAGCTGAAGCAGAAACCATGGAGAGATACTGCTCCCCAGCATGCTCTCAGAGCTGTGCCCAGCTAGCTCCTCCATCTACACATCTCCCTGTCTCCAACTTCTGAGATAGGGGGTCAGCTCCGGCTGACCTGGAACTCACTGTGTAGACAAGGCTTGCCTCAATCTCATATTTACTAGCCTCTGTCTTCTGAGATCAGCTTTCTTATAGTACAAGTCCATGGTGTGCTGGGTTCTCCCAAATAGCTATCAAGCAAGACAGTGACCTACAGACATGCCCATAGGCCAACCTGACAAAGGCCACTTTATCTTCCCAGGTGATTCAAGCCAGGTACAAATGGCAACCAGCACAGTGGACAAGGATCTGGGTTTGATCCCAGCACCATGTCAACCAGATGTGCACACCTGTTATCTCAACACTCAAGATGTCAAGGAAGGAGGATCAGAAACTCAAGGTCATCCTCAGCTATATAAGAAGTTTGAGGCCAGTCTGGGATATATGGAACTCTGTCTCAAACACACACACACATACACGCACACACATGCATAGACACACACTATACATAAATAAAATGTAAAAATATTGAATAAATAAAATTTAAAAATGGGTCAGAGCCATATATATCTAACCCCGTTGCTGGGAGCTGGGGACAGGAAGATTCCCCAAGACTTGCTGGCCAGCAACACTAACAAAAAAATAGAGGGCTTCAGATTCAGGGAGAGACTCTCTCTCAAGACAAATAAAAAACAAGGTGGAAGGAGGTGGGGGATGGTTCACTGGGCAAATGTGCTCACCATTTAAGCATGAGGACATGAGTTCAAATCCTCCAAGCCTACATAAAACCCAGGTAGAGACTCTCCAGAAGCTCACAGACCAGCAAGTCTTATGTATTGTTATAGGAAAACAATGAGACTGTCTCAAAGTGAAAGGCAAGGACCATGGCCCAAGGATGCGCCTTGTCATGTCATTCCAGGTCCTGCTATGGACCAACTCCTTCACTCAGGGAACTTCACTGAAGTCGACCAGTTGTCCTGAAATCTACACGTTGGTCTTACCCTGCTGAATAAATGGCTGGTTTTTATTTATAAACTGTACTTTAAAACACAACACACAAGATCAGATGACAAAACTTTTCTCTAAACTTTATGTGAAATGGATCAGTTGTCTTGGATCCAGGTGAAGATATTCAAAGGCATTAAAGTCTTGGGCCAGGAATGAAGAGGTTAGATTTGCTGGTATTGCCATTTGGATGGGCCATGATGGAAAGATTGCCAATGGAGATGGTCTCCTTCCTTTTGTCTTTTTTTTTTTTTTTTAAGATAGGGTCTCTATGTAGCCCTAGTTGAAACTCTGTAGTCCAGGCTGGCCTTAAACCTATTTCTGACTCCTTACAGCCTTACATACCCCAGGCTGGTCTTATTAAACTTAGCAAGTACCTGAGGCTGGCCTTAAACTTCTCCCAAGAGCCTCTTAACCTCCACCCCTTGTGTGCTGAGGTTACATCATTAGACACCTTGGCTAGCTCTAAATTGTTACACATGTGTGTACTGTTCACAAAAGCCAGAAGAGGGTGTCAGAGCCTTTGGAACTGGAGTTAGATTGTCGTGAGCTTGCATGCAGGTGCTGGGAATTGAACTTGGGTCCTCTGGAAGAGCAGTCAGTGCTCTTAACCACCAAGTTCCCTGGTTATTGATTAAGCCAGTAGGGTTTGGGTGAGAGGATGGTTTACTATGCAGAAAAAGCTATGACAGTGGCCATGAGTTGCTTGAAGGAAGGAATCCAGACATTAAATCTGTAAGGTAGGATAAGAAGACCTATCACAAGTATTTGAAAAATACTTTTTTTTTTTAAGAGACAGGGTCTTGCTATGTTGCCCAGGCTAGCCTATAATTCATAATCTCCTAAATTGCTGTGATTACAGATATTCATCTTCATGTATGGCTCACAGAGGCATCTTTAAAGGAATGAATGAGTAAATTGTTCTGGCATGGGGAAGGAGGAAAAGTCTGAAGTAGCTCACACCCAGGTTGTTCTCCAAAGCAGCTTCGTAACCACTCGGAATAGAAGACCTATTTCCAGGAGCACAGCCCCCAAACGCAAGGGGGCGCTGGGCCACTGCCAAGTGATGAGGAATGAACGGCTTATGAGGAATGAACGGCTTGTCCTAAGTCCTCTGAAAAGACACCATTGTTGAATGTACACACACAGTCTCACACACACACACACACACACACACACACACACACACACAGAGTCACAGGCATACGCATGCGCACATATTCACATACATGCATAGACACACATGCACACACAACACACACATACACATGCACACACTCATACACAGGCACAGGCACACACACACACACAGGTCCCTCCCCTCATTTTGTCAGTTTCGTAGAGTGCCCCAGGAGACCATTGCTGACAGGTTCATCAGAAAAAGGCAGAGAGGTGATTATTCACCAAAATCAAATCTTACTGCAAAGAAACTTGGTATTCTTCACAAGCAAGCCCATGGGTTATTTTATGCTATGACTGTTAGCTTTCAAACCTGGGACAAATGGCTGAGCTGCCTACTTAACCTATCAAAGCAGACCTGGCTGTCAGCTTCTCCCTGCACCTGTTACAGTGTCCTCCTGGCTGGCATACCCTGCTCTCTGCCCTTTACTCTCCAGGACCAGGAGTTGGCCTGCTTTCCCCTATATAGTCCAACCATTTTGGTTAACTGCCCTCTTTGTAATTTTGGGCTTCCTGTGTGCTGCCCCTGGTTCTCCTCTTGCCCCTCTTTCTTCTCCGCATCCCTCTCCACACATGACTCTGCTCATGTCCATTCTGGACTCTCCCAGATGTCCCTGCTTCTGGCGATCCTCTTCCATATAATCTCCAATAAATCTCCTCCACCAGACTGAGTGAGCAGTCATGCTCTTTTTCTTTGATTTCTTTTTTCATTTAGTGTCCAATTTGCTTTTAATTAAATAAGAATAAGAATAGGGTGGGAAGATGGCTCAGCAGGTAAGACTCTTGCTGTCAAAGCCTGATGGTTTTGAGTTTTACCCCTGGGGTTCACATGGTGGAAGGAAGGAAGTGGCTGCCACAGGTGGTCCCCTGACTTCCACTCACATGCTGTGGTGCACATACATATGTGCACATACACAGGCACAAAGTGGGCTTCTCTAAAGGCCGTGAGCAACATTTGTCTATATGAATAGAAGTGTACATATTGGGAAGGCATCTTGGTACCATATCAATTTAGCCAAACAATAATAAGTTCACCCCCATGGCCCTGATCTCTTCAGGTTTTTGCTGTTGATTTTTGTGTTTTGAGGCAGGGTTTTACTATGTAGCCCTGGCTAGCCTGGACCTCATTATGTAGATCAGACTGGCCTTAAACTCAGAGATCCACCTGCCTCTGCTTCTGAAGTTGTGGGATCAAAGTCACGAGCCATCATACCCAGCCAGAAGCCAGTTTTTAATAACGCTTTATTTGGTCTGACGTCTATGAGCCCGATGGACAGAGCCAGTGCTTGGGAAAACCACTGTTCAACTCCTTCTTCTATGTGATTTATCCGGTGTTCTTTTTTTTTTCCTTTTTTCTCATGGTTTTTCAAGACAGGTTTTTTTCTGTGTAGCCCTGGCTTTCCTAGAACTCACTCTGTAGACCAGGCTAGCCTTGAATTCAGGGATCCACCAGTCTTGGGATTAAAGGTGTGCACCACCACCATATCTGGTTTATCCTATATTCTTAAATATGTTGTAAAGTGAACTTGCGTCTTCAGTAGGGACAAGAGATTAACCATAATTGAACTGTCACTGTCCAGAGTAAGAGATACTGACCCTCATCCTAGCTGCCTGGAAGCCAGTATTCTGCTAGCAGCCTTCAGAGGAAGACGTAGAACTCTCAGCTCCTCCTGGACCATGCCTGCCTAGATGCTGCCATGCTCCCACCTTAGTGATAATGGACTGGACCTCTGAACCTGTAAGCCAGACC